GGAGGAACCGCCAAGAGAACAAACGTTCCACCTCTCCAACCACACGGCGAAGAGTTAATTGTGTGCGTCCCCATCGGAGAGGAGGCCGCCGGCCGGGCACGAGGGTCACCTGACCGATCTGGCCAAGGACGGGCGTCTCGGGGTAAACATTGACCCGACCAGCAGAAGGTGAGCAGCTAAAGTACACGAGACGTCCGCGGCTGGGAGCCAGAGGAAACCTGCCTGAGTTACTGAACAATCTACAGAGATCCGCAAGATTCTCCGCCCTGCGAGCGGCACGAGCTGAGCTACTGAGATTCTCCGCCCTGCGAGCGGCAAAATGGGAGCTACTGAGATTTTCCGCCCTGCGAGTGGCATGAGTGTAACTACTGAGATTCTCCGCCCTGCGAGCGGCAAAAGGGGAGCTACTGAGATTCTCCGCCCTGCGAGCGGCACGAGGGGAGCTACTGAGATTCTCCACCGTGCGAGCGGCACGAGCGTAACTACTGAGATTCTCCGCCCTGCGAGCGGCACGAGCGTAACTACTGAGATTCTCCGCCCTGCGAGCGGCACGAGCCGAGCTACCGAGATTCTCCACCCTGCGAGCGGAGCTACCGAGATTCTCCGCCCTGCGAGTGGCACCAGCGGAGCTACTGAGATTCTCCGCCCTGCAAGCATCAGGAGCGTAACTACCGAGATTCTCCGCCCTCCGAGCGTAACTACTGAGATTCTCCGCCCTGCGAGCGGCACGAGCAGAGCTACTGAGATCCTTCACCCTGCGAGCGGCACGAGCGGAACTACTGAGATTCTCCACCCTGCGAGTGGCACGAGCGTAACTACTGAGATTCTCCACCCTGCGAGCGGCAAAAGGGGAGCTACTGAGATTCTCCGGCCTGCCAGCGTAACTACTGAGATTCTCCGCCCTGCGAGTGGCACGAGCGGAGCTACTGAGATTCTCCGCCATGCGAGCGGCACAAGTGTAATTACTGAGATTCTCCGCCCTGCGAGCGGCACGAGCATAACTACTGAGATTCTCCGCCCTACGAGTGGCAAAAGGGGAGCTACTGAGATTCTCCACCCTGCGAGCGGCACGAGCCAAGCTACTGAGATTCTCCGCCCTGCGAGCGGCACGAGCCGAGCTACCGAGATTCTCCGCTCTGCGAGCAGCACGAGCGTAATTACTGAGATTCTCCAGACTGCGAGTGGCACAAGCGGAGCTACTGAGATTCTCTACCCTGCGAGCAGCACGAGCGTAATTACTGAGATTCTCCAGACTGCGAGCGTCACGAGCGGAGCTACTGAGATTCTCCGCCCTGCGAGCGGCACGAGCGGAGCTACTGAGATTCTCCGCCCTGCGAGCGGCACGAGCGGAGCTACTGAGATTCTCCAGACTGCGAGCGTCACGAGCAGTGCAACTGAGATTCTCCACCCTGCGAGCGTCACGAGCGGAGCTACTGAGATTCTCCGCCCTGCGAGCGGCACGAGCAGAGCTACTGAGATTCTTCACCCCTGCGAGCGGCACGAGCGGAACTACCGAGATTCTCCACCCTGCGAGCGGCACGAGCGTAACTACCGAGATTCTCCGCCCTGCGAGCGGCACGAGCGTAACTACTGAGATTCTCCGCCCTGCGAGCGGCACGAGCGGAGCTACTGATATTCTCCGCCATGCGAGCGGCACGAGCGTAACTACTGAGATTCTCCGCCCTGCGAGCAGCACGAGCGTAATTACTGAGATTCTCCAGACTGCGAGTGGCACGAGCGGAGCTACTGAGATTCTCCACCCTGCGAGCGGCACAAGCGTAACTACTGAGATTCTCCGCCCTGCGAGTGGCACGAGCGTAACTACTGAGATTCTCCACCCTGCGAGCGGCAAAAGGGGAGCTACTGAGATTCTCCGCCCTGCGAGTGGCACGAGCGGAGCTACTGAGATTCTCCACCCTGCGAGCGGCACAAGCGTAACTACTGAGATTCTCCGCCCTGCGAGTGGCACGAGCGTAACTACTGAGATTCTCCGCCCTGCGAGTGGCACGAGCAGAGCTACTGAGATTCTCCGCCCTGCGAGTGGCACGAGCGTAACTACTGAGATTCTCCACCCTGCGAGCGGCAAAAGGGGAGCTACTGAGATTCTCCGGCCTGCCAGCGTAACTACTGAGATTCTCCGCCCTGCGAGTGGCACGAGCGGAGCTACTGAGATTCTCCGCCCTGCGAGCGGCACGAGCAGAGCTACTGAGATTCTCTGCCCTGCAAGCGTCAGGAGCGTAACTACTGAGATTCTCCGCCCTGCGAGCAGCACGAGCGTAACTACTGAGATTCTCCGCCCTGCGAGTGGCACGAGCGGAGCTACTGAGATTCTCCGGCCTGCGAGCGGCACGAGTGGAACTTCTGAGATTCTCCGCCCTGCGAGCGGCAAAAGGGGAGCTACTGAGATTCTCCGGCCTGCGAGCGGCACGAGCGTAGCTACTGAGATTCTCCGCCCTGCGAGCAGGCAAAAGGTAGCTACAGAGATTCTCCGCCCTGCGAGTGGCGCCGGTGCCAGGAGGTGCGGGAAATCCTCCAACTGTCACTTCTCTACTGACATTCCTGAGCCACTCAGTGCCTGAAATGACTTCACCCATTCCCAGGGCGGGACCGTGGGAGGTGCCAGTAGGGTCATGCAAATGTCACAGCACCATGCTTTAAACATTATATGAAAGAACACGTCCCAAGCATCCCTTTAGGCGTGCATTGCTCCTTCCTGCTGGCCACTGGGTGCTGCAGACTTTAGCTGTGCAATCTACTGGTCAGTCTAATTGAGTTTTATCAAGCAGCCACCTCATGTAAATGCCACAGCTTCCTGCTTTGAGCTTTATATGACAGAACACATCCCCGGCATCCCTTTAGCCATGCATTGCTCCTCCCTGCTGGCCACTGAGTTACAGATATTCGCTGTGTAATCTACTGATCAGTCTAATAGAATGTAATCAAGCTGCAGGCTCATGTAAGTGTCACAGCTCTCTGTTCTAAGCTTTATATGACAGAACACATTGCCGGCATCCCTTTAGCCATGCATTGCTCCTTCCTGCTGGCCACTGGGTGTTACAAATGTTAGCTGTGTAATCTACTGATCAGTCTAATAGAGTGTAATCAAGCTGCAGGCTCAGGTAAAGGTCACAGCTCCCTGCTATGAGCTTTATATGATGGAACACATCCCCGGCATCCCTTTAGACTTGCATGCTGCTCCCTGATGGCCACTGGGTATTACCGATTTTAGCTGTGTACTCTACTGATCAGCCTAGTAAGAGTGTAATCAAGCTGCAGGCTCATGTAAATGTCACAGCTCCCACCTATAAGATTTATAGGACAGAACACATCACCAACATCCCTTTAGCCATGCATTGCTCCTTCCTGCTGGCCACTGGGTGTTACAGATTTCAGCTGTGTAAACTGCTGATCAGTCTAATAGAGTGTAATCAAGCTGCAGGCTCATTTAAATGCCACAGCTTTGAGCTTTATACGGCAGAACACATCCCCGTCATCCCTTTAGACTTGCATGCTGCTCCCTGCTGGCCACTGGGTATTACAGATGTTAGCTGTGTAATCTGCTGACCAGTCTAATGGAATGTAAACAAGCAACAAATAGAGTGTAATCAAGTTGCAGGCTCATGTAAGTGTCACAGCCCTCTGTTCCAAGCTTTACAAAACAGAACACATCCCCTGCATCCCTTTAGAAATGCATTGCTCCTTCCTGCTGGCAACTGGGTGTTACAGATTTCAGATGTGTAATCTGCTGCTCAGTCTGAGTGTAAGGAGGCCGCAGGCTCAGGTAAATGTCACAGCTCCCTGCTATGAGCTTTATATGACAAAACAAATCCCCAGCATCCCTTTAGCCATGCATTACTTCTTCATGCTGTCCACTGCGTGTTACAGATGTTAGCTGTGTAATCTACTGATCAGTCTAATGGAATGTAAACAAGCAACAAATGGAGTGTAATCAAGCTGCAGGCTCATGTAAGTGTCACAGCTCTCTGTTCCAAGCTTTATATGACAGAACACATCGCCGTCGTCCCTTTAGCCATGCATTGCTTCTTCCTGCTGGCCACTGGGTGTTACGGATGTTAGCTGTGTAATCTGCTGATCAGTCTAATAAAGTGTAATCAAGCTGAAGGCTCATTTAAATGTCACAGCTACCTCCTATGAGCTTTATATGACAGAACACCTCCTTGGCATCCCTTTAGACGTGCATGCTGCTCCCTGCTGGCCACTATGTGCTAGGAGCTTAGCTGTGCAATCTGATCAGTCTAATAGACTGTAATCAAGCAACTGCTGAGCAGATTGCACAGCTAAAGTCTGCAACTAGTGGTCATGCACAACTAAAGGGATGCTGGGCCTGTGTTCTTTCATATAATGTAGAGGAAGAGGTCAGTTCTAGAGACCACGCCCCCACACATGATGGGCAGAGAAAGCTCATAGCTGTTAGAGATGTTCAGCGTTCCTGTCCTAACAGGAAGTGAGGATACATCTCCTCAATAAAAACTGACAGAGGCTCCGCCCCTAAAGATTCTCTCCAGAGTTGGGCTTTAGCTGGAGATTCGATGAGTCTGAAGGGATACTCCGGTTCTCCAGCATTGTGCAGCGCTCACTCAGAGTGACAGGTCCTCTTTTATACAAAATAAATGACACCGAGAGCCGAGTTCAGAAACAACTTTATACAAATTTACATTGTGACAAAGAAATGAAAGAATTTCTCTGAGCTGAAAAAAAAAAAAAAAAAAAAAAGATGGTTGAAGAGTCTCGGTCCGCCCACTAGGGGTGCTCAAGGTGGAGAGGCCACAGCAGGGGGGTTCAGGTTCTTACATTTCTACACACGTCCGGCTGTCACCGACACCGCAGAAGAAAACAAATTCTGGGATTCCTGAAATGAGGAGATCATTGTATATCCGGATCTTCCAGCAGAGTCCTGAGATCTCTAGAGGCTAGCTGTTGGGGTGGTATCGGAGGCCCACGATGGAGGCGGAGGCCCACGATGGGGCGGAGTTGGAGGCTGGAGTCGGAGGTCCACGATGGGGGCGGAGTTGGAGGCTGGAGGTGGGGTTGGTGTCGGAGGCCCACAATGGGGGCAGAGGTGGAGGCTGGAGGTGGGGTCGGTATCGGAGGTCGGCGGCGTGGGAGGCTGGCGCTGGGGGTGGTGTCGGAGACCAGCAGTGAGGGTGGTGTTGAAGGCGGGCGGTGGGGAGCCGTGTTGGAGGCCAGCAGTGAGGGGTGGTATCAGAGGCTGACAATGGGGGGCGGTGTCAGAGGCCGGCGGTGGGGTCAGTGTCGGAGGTGGGCAAAGGGGTGGTGTCAGAGGCCAACGATGAGGGAGGAGTCGGAGACTGGCAGAGGGGTAGTGTCAGAGGCCCACGATAGGGGCAGAGTTGGAGGCTGGGGGTGGGGTTGGTGTCAGAGGCCGACAGTGGGGAAGTGGTGTGTGAGGCCGGTGTGGGAAGCCAGCGCTGGGGGTGGTGTTGGAGGTCGGCAGTGGAGGGTGGTGTCGGAGGTCGACAAAGGGGGGCGGTGTCGGAGGCCGGCGGTGGGGGGCGGTGTCGGAGGCCGGCGGTGGGGGGCGGTGTCGGAGGCCGGCGGTGGGGGGCGGTGTCGGTGGCCGGCGTGGGGGGCGGTGTCGGAGGCCGGCGGTGGGGGGCGGTGTCGGTGGCCGGCGTTGGGGGCGGTGTCGGAGGCCGGCGTTGTGGGCGGTGTCGGAGGCCGGCGTTGGGGGCGGTGTCGGAGGCCGGCGTTGTGGGCGGTGTCGGAGGCCGGCGGTGGATTTATCGATTGGAGAACCATCGGTGTAGGATGCGGCTCAGGATAGTCTGCGAGTCGGACAGATCTGGGAGGGCCGATGGCGGGTGGAGGGGGGCGGAGTCCTGCGAACCTGAAGGAGGAAAATAGAGGACGATGAACCAAAAAAATATTTAAAAAAAAAAAAAAACTTCAAAAAGCTTTATTGCAACTTGGATGCATTTACAGGAAGAAGGCAAGGTACAAAGCTCCCACCCGGCTCCTCCTCCTCCGACGCGTTTCACCCCAAAAGAATGGAAGAAACGCTAAAACAAAACAAACTTTTAACCACAGCCTTTTTTTTGCCCGTTTCAAAAAGCTTTATTGACAAGAACAAGCTACAGTACAAAGCCAACCCCCCCCCCCCAATCCAGGTCCCCCAACGCACCAACGCATTTCTTCCTCCAGAGATCATAATATTTTTCATTTATTATTTTGTTGCCTTTACATTGTATTTTGCAGAGAATCCCCGTGTCCCCGCCCCCATGGGGGAGAGTTCCGTTGAGTTCCTGTCCCACAGACGCAACAGGAAGTGAGAAGAAATCCCCTCTTAGTTATCAATGGAACAAATGTCCGCGTTAGAAAATGAACCCTCGCCTCCTGCTCTGGGGGCAATGTTTTGAGATTTTCATCACTTCCTGTCCCAGAGCTGCAACAGGAAGTGAGAGTTGTCACCTAAAACCGGTGTCCCGAATCAAAAGATTTCTGCTCACTTCCTGTTCCAGTGAAGACAGCAGCACAGAGGGTGAATCCCCCTTTAAGCTGGCCGAAGGATTATGGGAAATGTCCTCTTACCAATAATGGCGTCCTGGGGGGTGTCGGGGCTCCCGCTACTGATGACCTCATCACCTCTGGTCACCGTCACCGTGGTGGTTGTGGTACCCTGACTGTCCCTCACCGTCCGCCTCTCCTCCACCGTCTGCAGAGAGAGGGAGGGGTTAAAGGAGGACTCCGCCCCCAAAAAACAAACCCCACCACCAAACCCCCCCACACCCCCCCCCCCACCCACCCCCCCCCCAAAACCCCCCCCCCCCCCCCCACCAAACCCCACAAACCCACCCCCCCCCCCCCCCCCCCCCCACCCCCCACCCCCCCCACCCCCCCCCCCCCCCCCCCCCCCCCCCCCCCCCCCACCCCACCCCCCCCCCCCCCCCCCCCCCCCCCCCCCCACCCCCCCCCCCCACCCCCCCCCCCCCACCCCCCCCCCCAACCCCCCCCCCCCCCCCCCACCCCCCAACCCCACCCACCCCCCCCCCCCCCCCCCCAACCCCCCCCCAAACCCCCCCCCCCCCCCCCCCCCCCCCCCCCCAACCCCCCCCCCCCCCCCCCCCCCCCCCCCCCACCCCCCCCCCCCCCCCCCCCCCCCCCCCCCCCCCCCCCACCCCCCCCCCCCCAAAACCCCCCCCCCCCCCCCAAACCCCCCCCCACCCCAAACCCCCCCCCCCCCCCCCCCCCCCCCCCCCCCCCCCCACCACCCACCACAACCCCCCCCCCCCCCCCCCCCCCCCCCCCCCCCCCCACCCCCCCCCCCCCACCCCCACCCCCCCCCCCCAACACCACCCCCCCCCCCCACCACCCCCCACCAAAACACAGAGAGAGACAGTAAAAGGAGCCAACTGAGACCAAAACCCCAAATGTAGAGTTTTATTCCACACAGAATTATATATATCACCTAATGGTTCTGTACCCCCGCTGTGCCCATTATGAGGGGGTTCCCCCATCCCTGTGCCCATTATGAGGGGTTCCCACCATCCCTGTGCCGAGTTCCCGGGTCTGTACAAAACCCCGCTGTGCCCATTATGAGGGGTTCCCACCATCCCTGTGCTGAGTTCCCGGGTCTGTACACCCGCTGTGCCCATTATGAGGGGGTTCCCACCATCCCTGTGCTGAGTTCCCGGGTCTGTACCCCCGCTGTGCCCATTATGAGGGGTTCCCACCATCCCTGTGCCGAGTTCCCGGGTCTGTACAAAAATACAACCGCTGTGCCCATTATGAGGGGTTCCCACCATCCCTGTGCCGAGTTCCCGGGTCTGTACGCCCGCTGTGCCCATTATGAGGGGTTCCCACCATCCCTGTGCTGAGTTCCCGGATCTGTACACCCTGCTGTGCCCATTATGAGGGGTTCCCACCATCCCTGTGCTGAGTTCCTGGGTCTGTACACCTACATGTGCCCATTTATGAGGGGTTCCCACCATCCCTGTGCTGAGTTCCCGGGTCTGTACCCCCCTGTGCCCATTATGAGGGTTCCCACCATTTATCTGTGCCGAAAACAAACCCGGGTCTGTACACCCGCTGTGGCCCATTATGAGGGGTTCCCACCATCCCTGTGCCGAGTTCCCGGGTCTGTACCCCCGCTGTGCCCATTATGAGGGGGTTCCCACCATCCCTGTGCTGAGTTCCCGGATCTGTACACCTGCTGTGCCCATTATGAGGGGTTCCTCTGCATAGAAGAACCCAGCGTTGGCTCCAACCCCACCTATGCCTGGACTATCCCTTTAAGCAGTGGAGTAAATGGAGGAAAACTGACCCCCGATCCTCTCCTGTCTCGGGGGGCCCCGCTTGCCTGTGGGGGGCCCTTTTCCGTTGGAGAGTCCTGGAAGATGGCGCCTGTTCTCTGGGTAGGTAGGAGTCCGGGACCTTCAACATGTAGTCCCGCAGAAGAACTGCTTCGGGGCCCCACTGGAAACTCGGCCCTGGAGGTCCCGGAATCCACCGGAAACCCTTCACATGACGGACGAGGAAACAAAAACAACAGTGAGCTGGACGCACCCGAAACCCACACAGCAAACCCCACAGGAGCCGGACGCACCCGGAACCCACACGGCAAACCCCCACAGGAGATGGAGGCAAAAAATGGAACCCACACAGCAAACCCCACAGGAGCCGGACGCACCCGGAACCCACACGGCAAACCCCCACAGGAGATGGAGGCACCTGGAACCCACACAGCAAACCCCACAGGAGCCGGACGCACCCGAAACCCACACGGCAAACCCCACAGGAGCCGGACGCACCCGGAACCCACACAGCAAACCCCCACAGGAGCCGGACGCACCCGGAACCCACACAGCAAACCCCCCCCACAGGAGCCGGACGCACCCGGAACCCAACAATTACAAACCCCACAGATTGACGCACCCGGAACCCACACAGCAAACCCCACAGGAGATGGACGCACCCGGAACCCACACACGGCAAACCCCATAGAGCTGGACGTACCCGGAACCCACACAGCAAACCCCACAGATGGACGCACCCGGAACCCACACAGCAAACCCCACAGGAGATGGACGCACCCGAAACCCACACAGCAAACCCCCACAGGAGCCGGACGCACCCGGAACCCACACAGCAAACCCCACAGGAGCCGGACGCACCCGAAACCCACACAGCAAACCCCACACAGGAGCCGGACGCACCCGGAACCCACACAGCAAACCCCACAGGAGCCGGACGCACCCGGAACCCACACAGCAAACCCCCACAAGAGCCGGACGCACCCGGAACCCACACAGCAAACCCCACAGGAATGGATGGACGCACCCGGAACCCACACAGCAAACCCCACAGGAGATGGACGCACCCGGAACCCACACAGCAAACCCCACAGGAGATAAAACGCACCCGGAACCCACACAGCAAACCCCACAGGAGCCGGGACGCACCCGGAACCCACACAGCAAACCCCACAGGAGTTGGACGCACCCGGAACCCACACAGCAAACCCCACAGGAGCCGGAGGCACCCGGAACCCACACAGCAAACCCCACAGGAGCCGGACGCACCCGGAACCCACACAGCAAACCCCACAGGAGCCACTGAACTCTGCAGGACCCGGAGGAAGGACACTAACAGACTCACGAGGAACGTCCGGGATTATGGCGCCAAATCCAGAAAAGAGTTCATTGAAGTCTCGGAATACGTCCTCGAATCCGAAGGGGTCCTGGGACGGGGGGCGACCAAAAATCCAGAAGGGGGACTGGAAACCGGGGGGGCCATAGGAGTGGTCTTCATCCTTCATCGTCATCCTCCTCTTCTTCTTCCAGAGTCATCCCTCCAAAGAACGGATCCCTAAGGAGGGAGGGGGAGGGGAGGGCGGAATGGAAAGAATCCGTTCATGAATTCCAGCAAAAATAAGAATTTCCCACACAGGGCAACACATAATAAAAATGTTCATAGGATGGGAACAGGTATTAGAATTCTATCATATAAAAAAAAAAAATAAAATATAACTATATATTGATGAAGATAATAATGAGAAAAAAATTATAGCTAATTGCAAAAAATAAAATTTATAATAATAATTAAAAAAAAAATAACTGCAATAAAGAATAGTAATTATTATTTCATTATTATTATTATTATTTATTATTTCATTATTATTATTATTATTTCATTATTATTATTAATAGTTTTTATCATTTTTTGCAATTACTAAGTGTAACAATTATGTTCTGAATATTGTTATTAAATAGAATTATTACTGTACAAACTATAAATAGTGATAATAAAATAAATAATATTAATAAAGATTATTATTACTATGCTTATTTAATTAGCAAAATTTTAATTATTTTAATTATTTGTAATATTATTATTATTACTAATAATAATAATAGTAGGATCAGGGCCCTCCCATCCCTCTTGTATTGATCTGTATTGTTGCTGTATGTGTCTCCCATTATATTGTACAGCTCTGAGGAAAAATGTTGGCGCCATAAATCCTGTATAAAAATAATAATAATAATATATAAATCCTGTATAATAATAATAATAATAATATATAAATC